TGGTTGATTGATTGATTGATTGATTGATTGATTGATTGATTGATTGATGATGCTTCATTGTCATTGTACAGAGCACAATGAAGTTTCAGAAGAATACGAAGATGCAGTTTTTCTGTTTCTTATTTTTTGCAAATCTATGTTTTGATTTGAAACAATAAAACAAAATATAATTACTTTTACATAATATGGATTTGAAAATGAAAAATGGATGACCAAAGAAAGCACGCAGACCCAGATCTGGTAATGTTGCCTCTGTTTTGATGATGGCATTCCACAACTGGGCCAGTTGTGGTTTGGTTTATGTGGTGCTGGCCCAATGCATGGACCACCTCTGGCAAACCACATCTGGGCCACCAAAGGGCCATCATTCTTTGCTGTACCTGGGCTGAGATTTAATGCCTTGTGTGGGTCAGAACAGGGCCAGACAAACATTGCTACGTTGGTATAGTAACAACACATGATGAGCAGATGCAAACAGACCTCCACTTCCTGGACTGTTGTTTTTTTGGTCATTCTATCCAGCAGCTCCTCGTGACATCTTCACACAGCAGTTGAGGGGGAAAATAAACAAATAAAAGAGCAGAGACTTAACTGCATATACCAAGGGGGGAGGCACAGGAAAAATAAATTATAAATGAGCAAAACTCCCACACAGGCTATCCATTACTAATTCCTCCGAGCAGCAGTGAGTCAGAGAGAAGCTGCTTTGTTCATGCCTGCAGGGCATCGCAGAAGACATTAAGATCAACGGTTTGGATCTTGCTGTTGAGGGATACTGAAACGCTCTAGTGTTCAAAATTGCAGCTCTATGTAATGTTGCCCCCCACCAAAAATAAATGAATAAATAAATAAATAAATTAAATCCAACATTTACCTAAACTCTCAAACAAAATTAAAAGGATACAGCTCAGTAATGAGCACCACCATGTTCTTCTTCTCGAAAGCGTCGTGAAAGAAAACAATCCTCTCGTCGTCCAGCTCTGACAGCAGCTCCATCTCTCTGAGGGCCCAGGCTTTCCGCTTTCCCCGAGCAGAAATGAATTTTGCAGCAAAATCAGTTTTTTCCTTCTTGAGCGTGACTCTCTTTACGTAGGAGAAGGCCCCTCTGTGAAAAAAACAAAGTCATAAACACTGTTTGTTGTTTTTTTTCATCTTTAGATTATACTGTTGTTCTCTTTGGGCGACTCGACAAAAAGATAAAGAATGAAAAAAAGCTTTATTTTTTTTCTCAATTCTGCTCATTGTTTTCAGTGACTTCCAGAAAATACCTACACAAGTAGAACTTAATGAACACATAAACACTACATTTTTATCTGTGTTTATTAGTCACCGAAGAGCAGTACTGGGCAATAAAAGTGAAAAACGTTAGTTTCAAGCTTTGTTATGATATATGATATGTAATATCCTTCTTTACATTAATGTTTAATTCAACACTAAACCCAATGCAGCGGTGAATAACACACAGACACTGGTCCTGTAAAGCTGGCACAAGAACAAAAAACAATGTTTAATAGTGAAAGTAAGAACATTTCCACACACACAGGAGTGTTAAAATTTCAGTGTTAAACTTTTGGGTGTTGATTTAACACTCCCTAGTGTTATTTTAACACCTTGTGAGTAAACTGACACCCAGTGTTGGTGTTAATTCAGTGTTGATTTCCTCAGTGTTGTATTGTAAACTTTATGTACTATATGTAGTAACGTCTAATTTCTTTGACAACACTGGACAGTGTTAAATAAGCTCAACCCACTGTTAAGTTTTATATAACACTTAACAGTGTTGTTATTTAACACCACGCAGTGTTGAAAGAAGTAATCTGAAAAGCCCTGCCCTCTTCCACCTCATGTCAGATAGACTAGTATTTTCACAGCAAGGAATGCTGGGTAATCTTGTAGAAATTATGTGTTTGCATGTTTATAACTATGTAGTGCATGGGCTAGTGTGGCTCACCGTGCACACTACTAC